AAAAAAAAGGAGGAGGATTGGCAATAGATGTTAGCTCAGAGCCAGTCTTTCTCAGCAAAAAGAGGAGGATTAGCATGGATGTTAGCTCAGGGCTGATCTTCCTTCCCCCCCGCAAAAAAAGAGACCCCAATAAATTCCTCTCTGCCCCACCACTAACTCCTTCTTATGAGTCTCGTGTATTTCCTTCTCCATTCTCCAGATGCCCCAATGAGTCCCTCTCCGGGTTCCCCTGCCTCTTAACGTTCTATTCTACCAAATCTGGCCTAGGAAGATCCAAGGAGGGAGCTTCCCAGCGACCGTGCCTAGAGCCCCCTCCCACCACCATCATGGGGCTCAACACACCCACCTCTCCCAGGCCCAGAATCGGCTGAGGCCGATTCTCCTGAGAAATGGGGAGTATCAGATCTAATTAGTCCTACTGACAATGGCCCACAGGCAAATACTCTTTTCTGGCCTTCAGGGGAGCTGGGGTCTCTAAACACCCTTCCTCATCCATAAATCACTGCTTGACCCCAGAGTGGCTGAAGCAAGTTTTGATGGCGGCCATATTAAATGGGGGATTGAGAGGGACTGAGAAGCCTGAGACACAGAAGGTGGTGAGACCACTGTCTTTACTGGGTGAACCACAGGACGGTCCCGAGCACCCGCCTGGGTTGACGGAGGCATCCAGGGTGCTCAGGTGGGTTTGTTCTTGGCAATGCAGGCGTAGTCGCTGCTGGGGTCCTCCTCGGAGACTTCCTTTTCTTGGTGGCCACTGTCAGGCCCCTTGCGGGGCAGCCTCTGCAGAGACGCGTAGTGGGGCTCCTGCTCCGAGAGCTGGGCCTGGGGTCAGGGCAGAAGATGCTGACGGGAGGTCACTGGTCCCCAGAGAGCCTCCCTCTCTCTCATCCTCCCCTGTAAGTTCTTGCCCCACGCCCTCTTTTTTGCCTCATTGCCCCCTCAGTCTCCCCTGCTCTGCACCGGACAAGAGCTCTAAGCTCTTGCTCCTTTCTCGCACTGCCCTTTCTCTTTGTGTTTCTCTCACTATCCCCCGACTCCCCACTCTTAATCTCTCTTACTTTTCCTCTTGGTTTCTCTCTCATTTTCCCAGTCTCTCTCTAATTTTCTCTCACTCCTCATCGCTTTGTCTCTCTCATTTCTTTCTCTCTTTCTCTCTCCTTTCTGTCTTATTTCCTCTTCCTGTCTCTACACCATTTCTTTCTTCTCTTCTCATTCTCTTATTTCTCTTTCTGCCTCTCTCTCTCTATTTTCTCTGTCCCTCTAACTCTCTCATGCCCCTGCTTTCTCTCTCTTCTCTTGCCCCCCCATCTCAGCCCTCAGCCCCCTCTTGTCACCCCATCACCCACTTCCCTGCCCCCAGACTCACCCAGCTCCTCTCCAGCCTCCTCACTGGAAGGAAAGAAGAAGCTCAGCACGGCCCTCCCATTGTGTCTTCCAGCCCTCCTCACGCGCTCCCCACACCCCCAAGGAAGTGTCCTCACTTGCTGACTTCCCTGTGGTTCTCACACCAAAGCCTTGGCCTCTCTCATTGGACACTCTCCCCTCCCCTCTCTGCCTGACCTCTACCATCTTCCTCCCCCAGGGCGTGTCAGGCTTGATGGGGACTTCTGGGAAAGCAGTAGGAAAGGGTGGTGGCTTGGGGCCGGCCCCATGGCATAGCGGTTAAGGGCGCGCACCCCGCTGCTGGTGGTCCAGGTTCGGATCCCGGGCGCGCACCGACACACCGCTTGTCAGGCCACGCTGTGGCGGCATCCCACATAAAGTAGAGGAAGATAGGCACGGATGTTAGCTCAGGGCCAGTCTTCCTCAGCAAAAAAAAAAAACAAAACAAAAAAGGAAAGGGTGGTGGGGGGCAACCAGGGGCACTGCTGTGGGACGAATGAGGAAGATGAGGGTGGGGCTTACGAGGGTGGGGCTTACGAGGGTGGGGCTTACCTCTCCGATGGAGCCGACACAGACAGGCAGACAGAACAACCACAACCAGGAGCAGGAGCCCCCCCAGCCCCAAGCTCCCATATGTAGGAAGCTGCATCTGTGTGGGGAAAAGGCGTCAGTATTAGAAGGCCCTTTTCTCTCTTCAGTTTACCCATCCTCCTGGTTGGCGTGGATGTCTCAGCTCCCCTCTCCAACAGTTTTAGAGGCAGAAAAACATCCTCTCAGAGAGTCTTCGCCCAAGACCATGTTACCTCACCTCCTACGAGAGGTACCCATCCCTTATCCGTTACCCCATTCATACCCAAGACCGCTCACCCCTCAGAGGCTTCCCACCACCATCCCAGCCATCTCTGGGCTTCCCCATAAAGTCCCTTGTCTACCTGTACTGGCTGGTTCTGAGAGGCCCTGGCCACCTACTCATGAACCACACACACTACTTTTCACCTATCGCTCCCTGTGCACCCACAACCCCCTCTGTGCAGAGTGTTACCTCGTCCATCTCTGCCAACATTATTAGGTCGGAGACTGAAGACTGGCCTGGAGATCAGGAAACCTAGCCCCTGCTCTTCCAGGCTAAATGGCCTGGGGGAGTCACGTGCCTCAAGTTCCTCATCTGTAAAGTGTGGGGCCCTCTGTTACAATCGTTCCCAGCCTGATGAGCCTCACTTGTGCCAACCCTGAACCAGGCACCTGCCATTTGTTACTGCTAATCCCCACAACGTAGGGTATTACGGTGCCCATTTCCCTGGTGAGGAACCCGAGACTTGAGCCCAGACTCTTACTAGGACATTCAGCTGGGGTTCAAGGGCAGCTTTGTCCAGCCCCAGAGCCCACCCCTTTTCCCCTGCCCTAAGCTGACCAGGTGGTTCAGAGGGGCCTTTTCGGCACTGGATAGTTCTAGGTTCTGGTGAGGGGGCTGATGGAGGAGGAGGAGCCAGGGTCTGGAGTGCATGTGGGGACTGGTGGAAAAGTAGGGAAGGCAGTGTCCAGCACCACCTGGCAGCTGGGGCCGCTCCCTCAGCTCCAGAGCAGCTTGAGAGAGCAGAGCCCTACTTGGCTCGTGCGTGCGGAGAGCTGCTTCCCAGGGGCAGATACTGTTGGGGCTGAAGTGGGGCAGGGAGGAGTGTCTGGGGCTGCATAACTTCCCCTCAGGCACTTCCTGCCCTACAACCACTGGTTCCTGTTTGAGGGCAAAGAGGGGGCCACTGACTTCCCGCCAGAGCCAGATGCAGACCAGGGTCTGGAAACTGAGACCTTCCTGGGTTCAAGAGGAATGCTGGGGTGTGTGTGAGGGAGTGGGAAGCAGAAGCACAGGTGGAGAGGAGGGCCTGAGGTGGCCAGGAGGGGCAGTGGGGGCAGAAGTGGATTGTTTTTAATTTCTTTGAGGCGCAGAGATAGAGGCTGGACAGAGGATTCCTCCAGGTCCCAGGGAACCTCAAAGCCATACTCTCCCTTCCCTCATCTTAGCCTCACCTCACTCAGGGATGTGACTGTCCCCCTACCCCCACTGGATTTCCCCCACTAGGGTCCCTGCTCTCTCTCAGCTTACCCAGAGCCTGTGGCCTGTGGATGGACAGACTCCAGACTGGCCAGAGCTGCCTGGGTAGAGAGCAGTGTTGCCACCTCAGACATTCCCACGCCTCCTCTGGCTTTAACTTCTCCTCCGGCCTCAGCACCTCCGCAGTAACGTTAGGAGAGGAAGTTAGGCTTTGGGGGTTAGGGTTATGACATCTTTCCTTTCAGATTTCTGTGACTGTAACTAAACCGGTAATCCCCCTCAGCTCCAGCCATCCTATTGATCCTGCAAGTAGTCAGTGAATGTACACCTCCTCTGAGTGCCTTCCCTGATTAACTTTTTCCCAATTATCCCTCACACTGCATCCAGTGAGGGCTCACGATCTCAGTGTATGTGTGTGGACACACACCCGGCTCCCACATCAGACTGTGAGCTCTGGTGGATTCGGGGTGACTCACCTGGTGTTCTGGGGCTGTACCTAGCAGTGTGCTTGGCCAACTGATTAACAAACAGGAGAGTCAGAGGCAGCCAGACTAGATCTACATGAGCACTGCTGATAGATCTAGGAGATAAAGTTGATGACAAGTTGGTGTTGGGAAAGGAGGTATGGGCAATCCAGGTGGACTTCCTGCAGGAGGCAGCATTCTGATGTTGGGCACAAAAGTAAATAAGGGCAGTGGTCCGAGGCCCTCTGGATAGAGACCTGGATGAAGGCCTCTTAGTGGTACTGTGATGAGAAGGGAGATGGGTGCTAGAGGATTACACACCCAGTCTTTGAGGAGGGTGATGACCGGGGAGCTCATGTGGAGGCAAAGGGTGAGGAGATCTGGTGCCTGGGTCCATATCATTTGCATTTCCTTCTCCAAATTCAGAAACTTTCTGCTACTTCTGCCCCCTCCCCCCATCCACAATGTTCCCCATGCAGGACAGTAGGACAATATTCAGGGTTTTTTTTTTTTAAATTTTATTATTAAAATATTCAAACAGAAAAAAATTGAAAGAACTATACAGTGAACATATCCCCACCACCTAGATTCTACAAGTAACATTTTTCTATATTTGCTTTATCACATATCTATCAATGCATCTTATTTTTTGATACCTTTCAAAGTTGCAAACCTCAATACATTTTACCTCTAAACCCTTTACCATGCTTATCATTGACTATCAGTATTTGCTCCCCCCTCCCCCCTTTTTTTTTTTGTGAGGAAGATTAGCCCTGAGCTAACATCCGATGCCAATCCTCCTCTTTTTGCTGAGGAAGACTGGCCCTCGGCCAACATCCATGCCCATCTTCCTCTACTTTATATGGGACGCCGCCACAGCACGGCTTGACAAGCAGTGCATCCGTGCACACCCTGGATCCGAACCTGAGAACCCTGGGCCGCCGAAGCGGAGTGTGAGCACTTAACCGCTATGCCACCGGCTGGCCCCTCCCCATTTCTTTTTTGAGAGGACTGAGAAAGGCAAGATTTACATACACTAAAATGCACAAATCTGAAGTTAGTACTTGGTTTTTAAACTGTCTTGTGGTCAAGGCTCTGGGGCCAGACTGCCTGGGTTCAAATCCTGACTCTGCCACCACTGTGTGATCTCCCACAAATTCCTTACCCTCTCTGTGCCTCAGTTCCCTATTACGGTTTTTGTCAGGATTAAAAGCATTATTATATATAAAGTGTGTAGATCAGTGGCAGGCACATGCTAAATGCTATTTGTATATTAGCCATATTATTATTTTTTGTGTGTATAAGGAAGATCAGCCCTGAGCTAACATCCATGCCAATCCTTCTCTTTTTGCTGAGGAAGACTGGCCCTGGGCTAACATCCGTGCCCATCTTCCACTACTTTATATGGGACTCCGCCGCAGCATGGCTTGACAAGCAGTGCATCGGTGCACACCCAGGATCCAAACCTGTGAAGCCTGGGCCGCCAAAGCGGAGCGCGTGCACTTAACTGCTGCGCCACCAGGCCGGCCCCTAGCCATATTATTATTATTGCCTGAACATGCAGAGATGTCATCAAGAAGGGGAGATGATCTGGGACCACGTCCAACTTCTTTGGCTGGTCTTTCCCCTCTTCAACTCCTACTGCACTGCCTACCATGCCATTCATTTGATCCTTGCTGCTTTGTTTTGCTTACTCATTCATTTGTCCTTTCTTGCCCTGACTTAACATTTAGTCAGCACCTACTAAAGGTATGGGGCTCATTCCAGACTGCGAAGCTCTTTGAGGGTGGGGGCGTGCCTCCTCTCTCCTGCCTGCACTCTGTGTAGCCAGGGAGGTAATGCTCCATGTCCACCCCTCCTCGGTGAGTCAGTAGTCAGTGGTGAGGCTGAGACCCCTTCAGCTGCCATCGCTGTGGACTGGCTTAACTCTGCCTTTCTCACCGAGCTCCAGGGGCTAGGAGTGAGCAAGGGAATGGGAGGAGGAGGTCAGACCAGTGTGGGGATAGGTTCCTCTCAGGGGACCATTCATCCCTGAAGACCCCAGTTCTTGTCCTATTCCAGCCCTTGACCTCAGGGATGCGGATGTAGCCTTCCCTCCAGTACCCACCTCTGGAGTGTAGAAGAAGGCAGACTGTGCTGGAAATCTGGAGTTCTGTGTCCTCCCTGCAGCTTCACTGCCTGACTTTCTGCAAGCTACCTTCCTGCCCTGGGCCTGTTTCCCTCCCTGCTGAGCCAGAAGATCTCTAAGGCCCCCTCCAGCTCTACCCTGAAAGCCTGTCTCTTCACCCCAACTCCTTCCCCAGTTCAGAGAACCCAGGCATCCAGCTGCCCCACCCTAGCTCTGGGTAAACAGGAAGCTGGGTGAGGGGAGCAGGGGTGTGTGGAAAGTCCCAGCCAGGTGTGTGGGTCTATGGGGAAGGGGTGGCCCCACCCCTGAGCTATGAAAGCCCCCCTGCCCTGGCCCTGGCTCAGTCTCAATGGGGACACTGGGGCTGGAGGGCCGGGGTAGGAGGCCCCAGGGGAAGGGCTGCCTCCTGCTGGCTGTGGCAGGAGCCACTTCCCTGGTGACCCTGCTGCTGGCTGTGCCTATCACTGTCCTGGCTGTGTTGGCCTTGGTGCCTCAGGAGCAGGGAGGACTGGTGAGTGGCTGCAACAAGTCCCCCAGAGGGCTGTCTATTGCTGATGCTCACTTACCTCTGGCTATGCCCGGGAGTTTCTTGGCCTCATCCTGCTCAGCTGGTTTGGTTGTCCCCAGTGGGGATGTCTTGTCTGTTTCTGGCTGGCTCTCTTTCCACATTCCTGTGAGGCTGTGTGTTCTCACGTCTCCAAGCCCCTTCCTGGTCGTCTGTCTGTCTCTTCTTCCCTTCCCAAGACATACTCAGGCCTCTGTCGCTCTGCCCAAGTACCCATGCCTTGCTTGCTCTCTCTTCCAGGGAGAGGTATGTTGGGGATGGGGCTGGTAGGAGAAACCCCAGGCCTGGAGCTTGGGTCTATGTTGGAAAGGGTGGGGTTGGCGTTAGCTAAGACTGAACTCTGAGCACTGTGACCCCACCCACCCAGGTAACAGGGACCGCTGACCCAGGAGCACAGGCACAGGCCCAGCTGCGATTGGGTAAGAGCAGACCATCTCCCCCTCCCCTGCTCCAGCCCTCAGGGACTTCCAGCTCCCACCCATCTGGATCCCCAGATACTTTTCCTCCAGGAACCCAGGTGACCCATCCCTGGGCCCTGGCACCCTGTCCCCTCAGGGGGACTGTGCGTGGGTGACTGCCCTACCTCAATCATGGACTCTTCGCCCCTTCCAGGGTCCCAGGAGCTCCCAGAGGAGGAGGCAGAAACAGATGTCAGCCCTAGGCTCCCGGCTGCCCATCTCATAGGTAAGAATCTCAGAGACCTCAATAGTCCAAGGTCTGCTCACCCACAGTTAGAGTCCTTTTGCTCTGTTATTGCAGAGCTTGGTTTCCGAGCCGCCTCACCACCTCTCCCCCTAAAGAGCCCACCCTTCCGCTTGCTTCCCTCCTGGAGCATGCAAAACCCGGCCTGGATCTCCCCACCACAGCGCTCCGCACCCCACACCCAGGTGCCCTCAGTCCCCAACTCATACTCATTGCAGAGGTAGCACCAGCACCCCACTCCCCTTCCCCGGCTCGGTTCCTGCAGGGGTTAAAGGTCCCCCTCCCCTTAGCCCCTCCCCGCCCCGCCCCCCGCAGAAGTCCCGGGCCTGGATCGCTCCTCTCAGGATCGGATTCCCGAGAGCTCACAGGCCCGTTTCTTCGCAGGCGCTTGGACCAAAGGGCAGGGGCTAGGCTGGGAAGCGAAGAAAGAAGAGGCATTTCTAAGGAGCGGAACGCAGTTCTCCGGCTCTGAGGGGCTGGCTCTCCCGCAGGACGGCCTCTATTACCTCTACTGTCACGTCGGTTACCGAGGCCGGGCGCCCCCTGCCGGCGGGGGCCCCCTCGACCACTCGGTCACGCTGCACAGCCGGCTGTACCGGGCAGGGGGTGCCTACGGGCCGGGAGCTCCCGAGCTGCTGCTCGAGGGTGCCGAGACCGTGACCCCGGTCGTGGACCCAGCCCGGAGGCGCGAGTACGGGCCCCTCTGGTACACGAGCGTGGGGTTCGGCGGCCTGGTGCAGCTCCGGAGGGGTGAGAGGGTCTTTGTCAACATCAGTCATCCCGATATGGTGGACTACAGGAGAGGGAAGACCTTCTTTGGGGCCGTGATGGTGGGGTGAGGGCCGCCCACGTCCCGGGGAAAACGAATGCACGGTGGGAGTGTGGGAATCAGTCCGGATATTGGGGACCCAGTCACCAGGGACCCCATGGCCATGGGAAAAATGTAAGAGACTGGAAACTGATACTGAGCCTGTTGAAAATAAAGAATGTAATGCTTTAGTGCTGCCAAATACAGATGCTGAGATGTTAACTTGTCTTCATTCAGGGTGGGTACACAAGAGTTGGTTAAATATTCGCTGTACTTTTCTGGTTGCCTGAAACGGTTCATAACACTTGGCATGGCCTCTGCTCACTGGGCTGGCAGTCTACCGGTCCCACCCACCCCTGCCTCGGAAGGGCCCTGCCCCAGCATTAGCCCAGTTGGAGGTAGAATGAAGGGGATCTCCTCAAACCCCAAAGCATCTCCAAGCATCCTGATTCTCAGAGCCACCTGGTCCCCACCAGACTCCACACTCCTCCCTTTTCTCTTGAGTTCCTCCTCACAGTGAGAGGGGTCATTACAGGGGAAGGCAAACATCACTCAGAAAGGCCCAGCGCAGGGGTCCCCCCTGGCCTAGCAGTTAAGTTCGTGCTCTCCGCTTTGCAGCCTGGGGTTCGCAGCTTCGGATCCCGGGTGCGGACATAACGCACCATTATCAAGCCATGCTGTGGCGGTGTCCCATATAAACTAGAGGAAGATGCGCACGAATGTTATCTCGTTAGCCCAGGGCCAATATTCCTTAGCAAAAAAGAGAAGGATTGGCAACAGATGTTAGCTCAAGGCTAATCTTCCTCAAAAAAAAAAAAAAAAAAGAAAGAAAGAAAAGTAAAGAAAAAAGAAAGGCCCAGCGCAGAGTAAACCCAAATATGGCTGAGGAGTGAAGTACTGAGGTGAACTACTGAGAGAGGGACCCAGCACTTCTCCCCTGCTGGTTACCTGAAGACCCCTTTAGCTACTACCCCACAGCCAACTCTTCTCCAAGGAGCAAGAACCACAGCTCATGGTGTGTGAAGGGGGAGGGTGATTGAGAGAGAGAGATAGGGTGCGGGTAGTGCCTGAGGACACTGGGGAGAACCTGGGGAGGAGGGGAGGGGGAAAAACTGAGGCCATCTGGCCCTGTCCATGGTGGGATGGAAAGTCCTCACCCCTCTTTCACACTTCAGGTCCCCTTCCTGTAAGTGGGCAAGTGTGAGGGCCTCGGGGTGAGTAACAGCAGCCCCTTCACTCTATGACCGACTTTCAGCCCTGGGCTGGAGGAGGCAGAGGGGGACCCAAGGCCCTAACTGTGTCACCCTACCCCTGGGGGACACCACACGATTTTCCCCTGCCTGGCTACCCTGGCAGGAAAGAAAGCCCAACTTCTGAGCCCAATGGGGGCTTCCACTCTCTGGGTCTACATTTCTGACTCCATATTTGTCTTTGACTCTGTGTCCAAAAGACCCTTCTGGGGGAGGGAGTGCTTTTTTCTTTTCAGTTCATCTACCTCACATCCCTCCTCTCATCATTCTCCAAGAAAATTGGAGTGAGCTGGCATGTGAGTCCTTCACTCACATCTTATACCTGTTTTTAAATTTTCTTCAGTCTCTTCAATTCTACCCGCTGAAAGATGGAAGGGGATAGAACAGCTGGGGGCTGGATAAAGGTAGAAAGCCAGAATTCACTGAGTGCTTACTACGCTAAGTGCCGTGCTAGGTGCGCTGAGGTAGCTTAGGTCTTCTGTTCTCTCATGGCCCCATATGTGGTGGTTCCTATCTCCATTTGATAGATGAGGTTCAGTGACTGGTTCAGGTCGCACAGTTAGGACAGGGCTGGCTGAGGGGCCAGGGATCAGGATGATTTGGAGCCCAGGTGTCTGAATGTCTAGTGCCTTGGCTGTGATTCAGGTGCCTGAGAATGTGGCCCTTCCCTGGCTCTCCCTCAGGCAGCAACAGCCGGAAATCTCACCTGAGCACCTGAGCTGCAGGACTTCCCCGGCTGGGATTGGAATTCCCAGAGTTGGAAATTCCCACGCCCTGAGGGAAAGGAAATTAGGTTCGGGCTCCCGTTTCCTGGGGGAGGGGCATATTAGTCTAAGAATTGTTTCACGTCCAGTCTCCTGAGCCCCAGTAATTGGAGGACTGGGGACTAGGTCCAGGGATCTTAAGCCTTGTGGAGAAAGGACTTCAGGGAGTGGCCTCCCACCCTCAGGGAGAGCAGATGCAGAATTAATTCCAAGAAAGAGACCTTGTTTCTTTTCTAAGCATACTTTATTTCTCGCCACTGACCAGTAGGGCGGTTACAGATACAACTCCCCTGGGGAGCAGAGGTTCCTCGATGTAGCGACAGTCGGTCACCAAATCAGCATTATTTAGACAACTTGATCAGATAATATTATTTAAAAACATAAGCAAAAGGAGGCACAGAGGCCAGGAGGCCAGGTGGGAACAGCCTACAGTTCAGCTCCGTTTTCACAGAAAACATGTCTGAGCCAAGGCAGCCCCTATGTTGGGTCTCCCAGGAAACTTCCACCTCCTGAATAAATACATTCATTAGTAAATAAATAAATAATAAATAAATAATAAATAATCACAAGTGCAAACATAAATAGAGGGAGACTGCCCCGTGGGGGAGGGCCTGGGCTCTACATCTCAGGGAAGAGTCTGGACAGATTTGAAAAAAGGGATGCCTGAGGTCCACTCTTGTCAAGTTCTAGGTGAGATCTCAAGGGATGTTCTGAAGTGTTCTGGCCAGAACCAAAGGTTCCCTGGGCCCCACATTCCAGATGTCCCAGGTTGTATTAAGGGATCCAAACCTGAGCCCCTCAGTGAGCTCTGGAAGCCCCAGTTTGAATTCTTGGTGGTGGCCAGTGCCCCATTTTCCAGGTCACACATCCCTGCATTCTAGGTTTCTAAGTGTTGTTGTTTCAAGTTCTAAGCTTGGGGCCTGGCCCTGAGCCCCTAATTCCCTTTCTAAACCAGAAGGGGATGAGGGGGTCTGAAGGAGTGGATAATAAAGGAATTGAGGTGGGCGAGGACAGATGTCCTGCCCCCTCACAGGGCAATGATCCCAAAGTAGACCTGCCCAGACTCAGCAAAGTCCAGATAGTCGGGCAGATTGATCTCGGCGCTGAGTCGATCACCCTTCTCCAGCTTGAAGACTCCTCCCAGGTAGATGGGCTCATACCAGGGCTTGGCCTCAGCCCCTTCTGGGGTCTCCGTCTGGCAAGGGCTCTTGATGGCAGAGAGGAGGTTGACCTTGGTCTGGTAGGAGACGGCGAAGCGGCTGATGGTGTGGGTGAGGAGCACATGGGTGGAAGAGCAGCCTTGGCCTCTGAAGAGGACCTGGGAGTAGATAAGGTACAGCCCGTCCACTGGCACCACCAGCTGGTTGTCTGTCAGCTCCACGCCATTGGCCAGGAGGGCATTGGCACGCCCGCTCAGCCACTGGAGCTGCCCTTCGGCTTGAGGGTTTGCTGGAGGGAGAGAGAGAAAGAGGGAGAAGTGAGTCAGTGTGACCCTGTCAGTTCCACTCTCCACATCCTGGCCCTCAAGTTCTGCCCACCTCCCACATCCGGTTCCTGTCCCCTGTCTGTCTTTCCACATCCCATCTGGCCATGAGGTTCTGAGTATCCCCCTCAAGGCCTGTGCTGTTCCTTCACCCTCTCCTGGAGCGCAGCGAATCCTTGTCACACTGTCCCCAAGCTTTGTCTACTCTCAGCCTGGGTTCAGCCCCCAAATCCTATTCCTCCATATCCCATCTGCTTCTTCATCCCCCAGACACATCCTCGGAACTCTTACCTACAACATGGGCTACAGGCTTGTCACTTGGGTTTCGAGAAGATGATCCTGAGGAGGAAAAGGAAAACAAAAAGGTGAGACCCTTAAGCTTCCCAGAAAATATCCTGCTACTTTGACCTCCATTCCTCCTCCCCCAAAAACAAAACTCTAAATTTCCCCCACTGCTTCCCTCCCAGGACTAACCCCCACCCTCATTCAAACCCAGAATTAGGAGAGGTTTTGGAAACACTTACTGAGTGTCTGGGCCAGAGGGTTGTTAAACGGGAAGCCATTTGGTAACTGTTGGGGAGAAGAGAGAGGATTAGCATCAGAGAAAGTCATCCCTAAGGGAGAAACAGCCAGGCTGCTTACCTAGCCTGTACTCTCTGCCCTGATGTGTCTAGTTTTCTCTCTCCATTCATCCATTTATTCATCCCTCCATCCATTCAACAACTCTTTCATTGAGTTCCTTCCATGTACCAGACATCCTATCTTTATCTTTCCTTATCTCTTTCCCTCATCTCTCTCCTTATCTTTCATATCTCCCATATCTCGTTCTGTCTCACCATCTTTATTCATATTAGTTGTTTTTTCCCCATCTCTCTTCTCACACCCCACATCTCTCTTTATATACATATATCTGCTTGCTCATTCATTCATTCCACAAATGTTTAGTGAGCACCTTCCATGTGCCAAGCACCCCATCTCACCATCCCTCTCTGTCTTCCTCCATCTCTCTCCACATCTCCTTCTGCCTCCCCATCTTTCTCCATGTTTTCCCTCCCACCCCTCCCCATCAACACACCTCTTCCCCCCCCACCTCTCCTCCTCTTTCTCCCCCATTTCTCTCTGAGTAGGAGAATGAGCCAAGGCTGGCAAGGCACTCACCTCTTCCCTCTGGGGGCCGATCACCCCGAAGTGCAGCAGGCAGAAGAGCGTGGTGGCTCCTGCGACGAGGAGGAAGGAAAAGAGGCTGAGGCACAAACACCGTCTGGAGCTCTGGGGGCCCCCTGCCTTCCTGGCAAGCTCCTCCTCGGCCAGCTCCACATCGCGGATCATGCTTTCAGTGCTCATGGTGTCCTTTCCAGAGGGGCTCAAATTCAGCTGGGAGATGGTGGAGCCCTGGGGCGTGTGTTAGAGGGAGAAAATCGCCTGGTTGTTTGTCCGGGGGGTGTGTCCTCTGAGAGGTTATTTCCAGGGGTCTCTGAAGTTGCTTCTCTCTCTCTTGGCTGGTCCCCTGGTGTCCTCGCTGAGGGAGCTTCTGCTGGCTGGGTGTGCAAACAGCTGCATTTATATGCCCCGGGCGAGAGGAGGGCGGGGAAAGGCTCTCATTCAACCAGCGGAAAACTTCCTTGGTGGAGAAACCCATGAGCTCATCTGGAGGAAGCGGTAGTGGGCCCTACACCTTCTGTCTCGGTTTCTTCTCCATCATGGGGGCGGAGGTTTGGAAAGTTGGGGACACCCAGGCATCAAGGATACTTCCCACTCTCCCCACTCAGATTCTGAGGGGGCTTGCTGGGCCGGTTACTGTGTAACTGTGTATGGAGGACCCTGGAGGCTGGACCCCAGTTCTCCTCTCCCCACAATTCCCATTGCCTCCATTTCTTTTGGGAGCCATTTCCCTCTGATTGCTGTACAGGACACACGTAGGGATAGAACTAGCAATGAGAGGGGCTTCAGAAAGCTGAGTCCTTGATGGGGAGAAAACTTGGGGGGGAAGTTGTGCTGGGTCCTTACATGTGTTTGGGTCCCTGGGGAAAAGGAGCTGGGGGAAGGGGAGCTTGAGGTGAGGGGCATGGATGGAGCTTCTGGATGGGCTGGGTGGGAATGGCCAGGACAAGCCTGGGACAACCCCAGAGGGAGTGAAAGCAACCCTGGGAATTCACGAACCCCACGAGGGCAGGCCTTCTTCTTTCATTCTGACCAAGGACTCACGGTGCTGGTTTCAGTCTTGGCTTCCAAGGGAATCTGACGCCTCGATTTTTGCATGAAGCCCCCCACCCCTCAGAGCCCCTGTGTGGCTGTGTATCCCCAAAGAACTCCTGCTCCCTCCAGATTCCTGGAGACAGCTCTAGGCCTCAGAGCCCCTGTGCATGACCATGTCTCCTCAGATGTTTCCTGTATCCTCAGCTCCCAGCCTTGGAGGCTTTCCCACTCCTCAGGGCTCTGCGCATGGCCATGTCTTCCAGGGGGTCCCTGTGCTCCACCTCCATGGCCCTGAATACCCTGTGGTATGATCCCTTCTCCCCAGAGGCCTCCTGTAACCCCCCATTCCTCGGAGCCTCTACCTGTGGCCATATTTGCCCGGGCTCCCCTGACCTCCACCCCTCCAGACCTTGGACCCTCATTTTCCCTTTGTCTTCTCAGCTTATCCTTTGGTTCCCCTGGGGCTATCTAGCTGCCCCGCCCCTGTGAGTTCGCCACATTTCCCCAGAGCTCCTCAGGCCCCTTTATCTCCTTGTATGTCCACAGCTCCTGTCCCCTCTGAGGCCTCTGTCCTCCCTCCTTTCCTTAGAGAGACCTGGGAAATTCTCCCCTCCCAGACAGACAGACACAGACAGACAGCATTTCAGAGAAAGGAGGTTTATTGGGCTTCAACGAGGGCGCAGATGTCTCCTTGTGGGGTGTCTAGTCAAGCAATGACTGGCTCGTAAGAGCCTTTCGCTTCCTTCTAGAGCCCCTCGGTCCCTCAGACCCACTTTATTTCTCTCTCGCTAGGTCATCCTTGTGCCGACAACCTCTTTTCATCTATTGGGCATATTTCTCTCTCTCTTCTTCATATCCCTCTATTATTCCCTTCTCTCCATCCTCCATAAATAAATAATTTAATTTTCCCTTCATAAATAATCCCCCCTCCCTGCCTCCAGTCATCCACCCAAACTCCCCCACATGTCTGTTCCCCCTCCATGTCTAGGGCTAGGCCCCCCCTAGACTGGTAGGACAGATGAAGAGTTCTGGGAGGGAATTCTAGGCAGGCTTAAAATCCTCAGCCAAGCACCCGGGGTAGTTCAGGGAGGTGTGGTCCCCTGGGGTGCCTAGAATTCCTTCTTTTGGAAGCTCCAGGTGATGTGAGTGGGGAAGGCTTGAGACTGTTGGAATGGTCAAAGGAGAGATGTGGTGACCCCTGAAATGGTCAGAATGGAGGCAAAATAGGGAGAAGGCCTTGAAACCAATTTTTTTTTCTTTCTGGATTTTTCTACAGAGCAAAGGCTCCAAAGAAGACGCTACTGGGACTGAGGAGTAGGTGGGAGATGCCGTCTGTGTGAGTGGATAGCTGGTCTCCCTGGGTGAGCAGGAATACAGCCCCCTGGTACACCGAGTGCACCCAGGGTCCCTGTGGCCCTGGGCACACGGACTTCTGAGCGCTGAGGAGAGGCACATGGAAGGGGTACTGGGAGGAGAAGAGCTGGACCTCATGGGCCAGGTAGAGAGGAGTCGGGGTGGCCTTGGGGAAGCAGCCTTCCCCAGAGAAGACCACCTGGGAGTAGACGAAGTAGAGGCCACTGGTGGGGACCAGGAGGGAATTGTTGCTCAAAGAGAAGCCATGGCGGAGGAAGGCACGATCCGTGTTCGCTCTCCAGCGCAACGAGTTCTGGGTGCTGGGGTCTCCTAGGAAGAGCCATTGGGGATGGGGGTCAAAGACCTGGGGGTCAGAGGTCTCAATCCCTAAGGAAGCAGGTGCTGGACTGAGTTCCTAGGGGATGGTTAGGAGGACAGATGCCAGTGGGATGCCTCTGATTTGGGAGTTGGGGAAGTTGAGGGAGAGGTGGAGTGGATGCTTGGGTCCCTGAAGGGGGGTTAGGAGGAGAGCTGGGGCTACATGTCTGGGAGGTCAGGTGGATGTTTACCAACAAGGTGGGCGGCAGGTTTGAGGGTGTCTTGGGTGAAGTGCTTCTGGGGGTGCTGATGGGCAGTCCGGGCTGCTGAAGGTGACAGGCCAACACCAGGGAGCCCCTAAGGGAGAACAGAGTTGAGGGAGGCTCTAGGGCTGGACCAAGGTTCAGCTGGGCCTCCCCCACAGCCCCCATTCTCCTGCTGCCTCACCTGGGCCTCAGGCGGCAGGGCCAGCAGCAGCCCCAGAAGGAGGAGGAGGAGGGGGGTGCCGCACACCCTCGGGAGGTAGAGACGTCCAGATGGTGTCATGGGGAGAACCTGCAGAGAGAGAGACAGTGAGCGGGGCGGGGCGCTGCGGAAGACAGGCCTCCTGCCCGCGGAGACAGCCACCACGAGACACAGGGCGAGAGACAGAGAAGGGGACAAGATGCAGTCAGGGAAACCCCGAGGTGAGCAGGGGGAGACAGAAAGAGAAACAGAGCAGAGAAGGGAACAGAGAAGGGTCGCGGCAGAAACAGAAAACGTGTGAAAGAGGCACAGAGAAGGAGACTGACAGACGGAGCATCAGAGAGAGGGGAACAAACCAAAACCAAACCCACCGAGGCCCAGGCCCAGGCAGGAGTGCAGGAGGGGCCGGGGTGCACGCTGAGGGGCCGAACGCCTGCCCAGGGAAGGAGTCCGCCGCCTGGGCAGCCCAAGGAGATGGGGCCGGAGAGTCTCACCTGCTGTGCAGGGCCCCTGGGCTGGGACGCCTGGGTCCCTTTATAGAGGAAGCGGCAGTGGCAGCGTGGCAGGCGGCGGGCGGGTTCTAGGCCGGGGCTGGGGCCCGGGGAAGCCCCCAGGGCTTAGAAGATGCTGCTGTTTCAGTCGAAGGCAGGAAAGGCTGAGGCCTAGGAGAGAACCGCAGGCTGGGGGCTCAGATGACTGAGTTCTGGGAAAGGGAGTGGGGTCAGGGGAACCGTGGGCTGGGAGGGCCAGGGAGCAGGGTCAGGCTTAGGAGTTCCTGAGAAGGGACAGTCAATTCGGGGGAGGAGAAGGGGGAGCAGCTGGGGTGTGGGCTGGAGGCCTGGTTCCCTGAAGAGTGATTATATATAACACCTCTGCACCCTTGGCTGATTACAGGCTTCTCTCTGGGCCCATTTCCTTCTCTGTACCCCCGTCCTTGTCCCAAATGGTTCAAATCACACTTGTCCCAGTATGTGTACTTTCCAGGTCCTCTGGCTGGTTTCCTATCAAGAAGTTCCATTATATACCCCTGTGCCTGGGACATCCTGGTTTATGCCTGCTGTCCTGGTGAAAATATTCTTGGAGCCCCTTTCGCTCTCAAAAGTGTCCTGGTTTGGAAGATAAGTGTCACGGTTCCCTACCCAGGGGTGAGGCCATGCACTCATGTATGCTGAGGTGTCATCTCACTCCTGAGGATGCCCTCCACCTCATCCTGACCTTAGGGACCCCCAAAGATCAGATTTATATAACCCCAAACACACGCCAGGATCCAGGAATGTGGGGGACAACTTCCAGAGTTCTCTACCGGGGAAGCTTTGGAATTCCACACAGGAAGATCTTAAGAGTGTTGACCTAGGGTGGGGTGGCAACAGCTAAGGGACTTAGCATTTGCAGAGTCAATACATCATTTTTTTTTATTGAGGTAACACTGGTTTATAACATTATATCAATTTCAAGTGTACATCATTATATTTCGACTTCTGTATAGACTGCATCGTGTTCACCACCAACAGTCTAGCTGCCATGAGTCAATACACTTTTAAAATCATGAAGGATTTCCCCCTTTTACTGATATAGAACTTAGGTGCAGTGAGGTGTGCACACCTCCTAAGTGACAGCCTGATGAACTTTTCCACCTGTGTATAGCCATGTAGCCACCAGCTAGTCCAACATATTATCAGGTCCCCAGAAGGTTCTCTCGTGCCCCCTCTGAGCTGATACCCTCCAAAGATAACCAATCACTTTCTGACCTCTACTATCATAGATTAGTTCTTCCTGCTTTTGAACTTCATATAAATGAAATCACACAGAATGTACTCGTTTGTGTTTGGCTTCTTTCACTTGGCATTATGTTTGTGCGATTCATCTATGTGGTTGCACATATCAGTAGTGTTTTTTTAAATTGCAATGTAATATTCTATTATATTTATCCATTCTTCTACTGATGGGCATTTGGTTTGTTTCCATTTTTTGGCTAATATGAAAAACGCTGATATGAACATTCTTGAACATGAGCCAGTTTTCACTTAGCTTGTAAGTTGCAGGTTTAAAACAACAAGGTTTCTAAAGATGATTTTATTCACCTTTCATAAGATTGAGGAAATAACAATTGGCCACCTCAAATATCATTATTACTCTTACTGATGTTGTTATGCTTTCATGTGGAGGGTTTTGGAGGGGCTGGTGCTGAGGATAGTGGTGATGGAGGCTAAAGTCCTCCCATGTTGCACTGGGCACATTGCTGTTCTCCTTTGGCACAGAGTTCCCAAAGGGTCTTGCGGTCCTGTGGCACAGAATTACCATTCAGGGTGTATATAAGCTATTTCTCCTATTTTCCTCCTCCTACTTGAGGCCCTGCAACTTTGCCTTTCATGCCTTACTAGTCTTATCTGTTATTACTTTTCATTCTCATTCCATCTCTTTAGCTTTCTCTCTATTCCACAAACATTTACTGAGCACCTTGTACAAGGATACAGATGCGAAAGACAGTCTGCTGACCTCCAGGAGCTCAAAGATCAGTGTGTTAAGTTATCAGATAATTACAGTAAAGTGTGATAAGTTCCATGACACTGGGCTTATGGCAGCCCATAGAAAAGCCATCAAACTTTGGCCTGGGGAAGAGGTGATTCAGGCATCAAGTATTGAGCAAAGAAGATGGTGAGGAAAGTTCCAGATGGAAGAAATAGTCTGTGCAAAGACTGGAGGTAAAAGAGACTATGAAGTCTGCTGAGATGTGCAACTGGGTACAAATAGAAGGAGCAGAGTTGTGGCTCGGGAGGTGAGCTGAGAACACATCCTGAGCGGTTGAAAACCAAAAAAAGAAGTTTGGATTTCATTCTAATTATGATGAGGAGCCACCAAAAATTTTAAGTGAGAGAGGGACCCATGCAGATTAGTATACTAGAAAAATGAGTCTGGAAGCTACGTGAAGAATGGATTGGGGTATGGGAATTGCAGGGCAAGGGGGGAAACTGGAAGTTTGAATACCAGTTAGGAGAGTTTTGCAATAAACCAGCAAGGAGATGACAAGAGCCTGCATTTATATCAAGGCAGCAGCAGGAGAATGGAAAAGAAGAGTTTCTAGGCAAAATCTACTGGTCTTGGAGGCTGACCAGATGTGATGGAAGAAGAGCAGTCACAGACGCCTCTTTTAAATATCTTGGCCTGTATCTTGGCTGCTTCTTATTCTTTTAACTTGACTATGTCTTGTGTCACTGTTGGTTTCCCTCTTGGTCCCTGCTCCTTTCCTTTTCTCTGTGTCCCTCTTTCTCTGTGGGTCTCTTTTTCTTTCTGTTGTCTCTTTCTGCCTCTCTAATGGTAGGAGCTGATGGACTGAGAGACCTCAGCTATATTAAAATATAAAACAGTGTTGTAATTAACAGTGAGAAACAGAGAGAATGGGAGAGACTTAGGTCAGAGAGGAAGACTGTGGAATTGAGGGACAAAAAGGGGAAGGTGAGAAGGAGTGATGGGGAGACATGAGAGACAGAGAGGAAGGAAGGGCAAGAACTGGGCTGAGGCTCTGTGTCACGGGCGTTTACGATGTGCTGAAGGATGCTCCTTGAGATGGGCCAATCTTGGTTTCAATCTCAGTTTCGGAGGTTGTGTGAAATTCGGTTTCTTTCTTGAGGAGACCAACAGTTGGTTTGGGGCTTTCCCTGGGTGGGAGGGGTGATGACTGGAGTCTTGTGCCCCAAACTCAGGGACATACAGTCTCTATAGTGGTCTCTGTGGAGAAACCAACGAAATCTCTGAGGCCTCCAACTGAGGCTGAAATGACATTAGCCTCAAATTTGAACTTGCCTCAAAACCTAAATGGGTTTTAATACCAACTTTGACCCTAACCCAAATTTAACCTCAACCCAAATCACAACTCAGACTCAACCCTAACCTCAAATCTAAACACATCCCAATAAGTGAATCCTCAACTAAAACTTATCCTCTAAACTAACCCAACCCTGATTGTAGAGCTAATCTTGACTCATCCCCATTCCTAACTTTATAATTAAACCTGACTCTAAATGTAAGTCCAATCTGAGCCACAAACCTAAAGTTGAGCTTTATACTGCTTTATTCCATTATCTATCCTTCCCTCCATTTAATAAGTATTTATTGAATTCCTACTATGTGCTGGGCACTGTTCTATAGCGGCAATCAAGTCAGACAAGGTTCTGGCACTCATGGGGCTTACATGCTAGTGAGGCAAGGCAAAAAAGAAATACACTGAAGAAGAAATCAGTAAGTAGTGCTATGAGGAAATAAAATAGGGCACGTGATAAGAATGGCTGAGAACTACTTTAGACACAGTAGTCAGGAAAGTCCTCCCTGAGGAAGTGGCATTTAAGCTGAGACCCAAATGACAAGTAAGAGTGATTGGGTGAAGGTCTGGGGGAGAAGCATTCCAGGCAAAGGGAAGAGTTACTGCAAATGCTGGAAGGTGGACATGAGCTGGGGGTGTTGAGGAACAGAAAGGGGGCCAGTGTGGCTGAAGCAGAGAGAGTGGGAGAGGGGTGGGAGATTAGGTCAGAGAGGAGGGCAGGGGCCAGGTCACACAGAGCCAAGCAAGGAGAAGTAAAACATCTGGATTTTAATCAACAATGGGAAGTGTTGGAGGGTGTCAGTGTGTGTGTACATGTGAGAGAAAGAGATGGGTGTGAGGCAGAGGTAATTGGATTTACGCTTTTAAAAAATCATTGTTGCTCCTGTGCTTAGACTGGACTGCAGGGGCAAGACTGAAAGCTGGGACACCAGTTAGCAGGCAGTTGCAGTAGTCTTGGAGAGACGATGGTGGCAGCCATGAAGACAGAGAGACGCAGATAAATTTGGGATATAATGGGATATATTTCAGGGGTAGAATTGACAGAACCAGATGACGGATTAGATGGATGGGGAGGGCGTGGAAGATGGGGAGACGGGGAGAAAAGCAGGATTCTGATGGGGTGGGAGAACCAAGAGTTCAATTTTGGATGTGTTAAGTCTAAATCTACTGGACACACATCCACGTGGAAATGTCACTTGGCAGCTGGATATGAGTCTGCATTTCAGAGGCAAAGTCAGAACTAGAAAGAGAACAGTGGGAGTCGTCAACATGAAGATGGCATTTAAAGCCATGGAACTGGAAGAGATACCTTATCTTGTGCACCCCCCTAAGACGCCTTCAAGGATTTCCCTCACAATAAATGCAATGTGTCTAAATTCCTGAAGCAGCAGCCTCTTGCTTCCAGAAGCAAAACCCTCCACACTTTTTCTTCTTCTCCAGAACTCTCACTGGGATTTAACCTCCCTGGATGTGATTCCCTACCCCACAACGGACGCTTCTACCAGTCCATTTCACAATATTCTATGTAACTCCTCATGTACTCAAACCCTCTATTTCATTTTTGAAAGCATCTTCCTTTGGCACTTTGAAACCTAGCTTTTCCCTAAGGATGCTCCTTCTTTCTTTGGTGAAGGCTGCTCTTTCTTCCACCGCCATCACTAGGGGCAGGGGGCAGAGGAGAGGCCACTATTCTGTCTCCTCTCTGCATAACTGATAACCTCTTCCTCCTCTCTTGAAGCCCATGCCTTTTGCATTTGCCATGCTCTTCCGGTCTTCACAGCACAATCTTCTCCACCAACATCTCTACCATGCACTTAACAACTTGTATATCCAGCTCAGTTTCTCTCCATATCTCATCCTCTATCATCATCTTTAGTGACTTCAAAACCACACCGATCAGGTGAGTCTTACACTCTGGCTTCTCAGTGCTTCAACTTGCTCAACTCCAAGAGCTTTACAGCCTCTTTCTCTGCTCCACTTTAGCCACCCATGGGCAAGGTGGTACCTCAAACCTCAGCATCACTTGGAAGGGGTACACCTTTGAGATCTTGAACCCTGAATTTTCCCTCATCACAACCACCCATCTTTCATATCTCCTTCTCTCTCCCTCCCATCAAATCAGTTCTTCATTCTCACCAAGACTTCCAATTCCTTCTTCCTTCCTTGTTTTGCTTGTCTATTTGGTTTAACTTGTACTGTATGGTCAAAAATTTCATCTGCTTTCACTAGTACTTTAGAATCACTTATCTACCTGATTTTCTACCAAGACGACTTTGAAAAACGTGATTTGGGTAAACTCAATGGTCTCATTCTTGGTCTTTCTCCTAGGCTGCCAAGCACTGCAGGAGAGAGTCATGTTACCCTAAGAGGCCTACTACCAATCCTGGCCATCTAACCTTGGAGAGCTCTCAGTGTTCCTTTATTTATTTATTTATTTATTTATGAGGAAGATCAGCCCTGAGCTAACATCCATACTAATCCTCCTCTTTTCGCTGAGGAAGACCGGCTCTGAGCTAACATCTATTGCCAATCCTCCTCCTTTTTTTTGTTCCCCTAAAGCCCTGGTAGATAGTTGTATGTCATAGTTGCACATCCTTCTAGTTGCTGTAGGTGGGACGCGGCCTCAGCATGGCCGGAGAAGCGGTGCATTGGTGCGTGCCCAGGATCCGAACCCGGGCCGCCAGTAGCAGAGCGCGTGCACTTAACCGCTAAGCCACGAGGCCGGCCCTCAGTGTTCCTTAATCCTGCTTTGGTGAGTCCGTTAGACTCCTGCAGGTGATGTTCTAAATCTCCATGTCTATGACACCCTCCATCTTACCTCTTTACTCTCAGTTGATGATGCTGTCAGCTATTTTATTGAGCTTAAGGTCATCCAAGGTGGATCTCTTTACTTTCTTCTTTTCCCTCCACTTTATGTTTCATCTTTCCTTTCTTCTTGACTCAGGATTCTTTCTCCTGCCCAAGGCTGATCCTTTGGATTCTGTATCCCACTTTCTCTGTCTTTACTATATTCTTTCGCCCCTTATGTTTTCAGTATCTCTCTCTCTTCATGAGCCTTCCCTTCATTTTACATACTCAATTTTACTTCTTCTTCTTCTTCTTTTTTTTTTTTTGTGAGGAAGATGAGCCCTGAGCTAACATCCGATGCCAATCCTCCTCCTTTTTGCTGAGGAAGATTGGCCCTGGGCTAACATCCACGCCCATCTTCCTCCACTTTATATGGGATGCTGCCACAACATGGCTTGACAACCGGTGCGTCAGTGCGAGCCCGGACCTGCGAATCCTGGGCCGCGGCAGCGTAGTGTGGACACTTAACTGCTGTGCCACAGGGCCGGTCCCTCAATTTTATTTCTTGAAAATAAAAAATCCTTCCCTGGACTCTCTTTCTCCCCCAAATGTCCATTCCATCTCTCACCTTCCTTTTCTGTGTGATGTCTCAAGACCAGCCCCCTTAACTACTTTTTCGGGAACTAGTAAAATTTTCCTCATCTGTAAAATCTGTGGGTTGAACTAGAGAAGATTCTTAGTTATCTTCTGTATTTACCATTCTATGACTTTGTACCCACCACCTCCCTTTCCTCACCTCCTACTCATTCCTCAACCCATGTAAAGCGATTTCTGCCCCTCTGGTAAGTGGAAACTGTTTTCTCAAAATTTGTAATCGTCTAGTTCCTGAACCCAAAGGATCTTTTCAACCCTCCCCTGCCAGACCTCTTTGAAGCATTAGACGCAGCCGCCCAGGCTCTGCTTGGCACACCTCTCCCTTGTCCTACTTCTGACTGCTCCCCCAACCTCTCTCCTTTACTGGTTCCTCTTCTTTGATCATCCTCAGGGGTCTGCTGATCACCCCCTCTCTTGGTGATCCTGTCCACTCAGAGGCTCAATCTCCACTGGGAATGGAACAATGCCCAAATCTATCCCTTCAGCTCAAACTTCTCTCTCGAGCTCTAGATCTGCCTGCCAGAGATCTCCACTTGAGTGTCATGCTAGCACCTCAAACTCAGCAGGTCTTCTTCAAGCACTTTTATTACTTCAAGCAGGTGCAGCTCCCATTATTACCTGTAGTTGTTACTTGTACATCGTTTCCCTCATTAGACTACAAGTTCTATGAGAGCAGTGACTATTTCATTTATACCCACTATCTAGCAGAGTGCCCCACTCCTATAAGGTTGCTTAATAAAAATTTATAGATCGTCTGAAATTAGCTTATCTTTCCCCTCAGCCACGCATCTCCTCCTTGGTTTAGGGCATTATCATCTTTCCAATCCCCTCAGTTCAAGATTTGGAGTCACCTAAGACTCCTCTTCCCTCACTCCCAGGACCCAATCAGTTGTCATGTCCTAATGACTTATCCTCTCAAAGTTTATGAAATCTGTTCCCTCCTTTAATGCCATTTAGAGTTACTGGGACCTAAGTACAAAGTACACGAGTTTTGGAGTAAGACGAGTTTAATGCTAATTCCACTACTTTCTAGCTGTGTGGCCTTAGGCAAGTTACAGTAGGTTTATGAGCCTCAGTTTCCTCATCTTTGTAATGGAGATCCACCACCACCTTTTGGACAGTTGTTGGCAGGATTACTGACGTTAGGTAAAGGGCTTGACATGGTTAACACATAGTAGGTGTTCAAAGAGTGAGAGCTGTTTTCTTCTTTACTCCTTGTCTATACTCCCACAGCACTTTCCTGTCCTCCCTCTTCTTCACAGTTGTCACAGTGCCACTGCCCACAGATGAAGTCCAAATCCTTTGCCTTGGCATTCTGTGGTCCTTTCTTCAACACATGCTCCCTCACACCTGTACTTCATCTACCTCGGGACACTCAACTTTTCCTCAACATACTGTGTTTTCTGACTCCTGGCCTCTGCTCAAGGCACTTCATTTACCTCTGGAGCCCTTCCATCCACCTCCACCCACAGAAATCCTACCCATTCAACAGCACCAGCTCAAATGCTCTCTCCCTTTTCAGAGACCTCGTGTGCTTTCAGATGGAGTTCACCGCCCCCTTTTCTAAGTCTGCTGTACCTTACTCTAACGTCTACTCAGCTTGCCTTGAATCACGGTCAGTTAGCTATGGGCCTGCCTCTCCTACTGGAATGTAAACTTGAAGCAAAGTTTGTATTTATCTTTAGGCTACTGGAGGCTTCGTTAAACTGCACTGAATAGAGTCCCTTCCAGATCCTTTTTCTAACTTAACTCAAACCTGCCCCAACCCCAGTCCCCCAAATAACCCACCCCAATCTCACTAATCTTGCTCCCAATCGTGTTTCTCTAACTGAACCCCACTGCATCCTCCCTGAGGATCAATTCCTCGTTCCAGCTCTAGAGAGCAGATACGCACACTTCCACTTCCCCAGGGTTTCATGGTAGGCACTGAGTCATCCCTTGGGGATCCCAGGGCCCCCTCCCTGCCCCCACCGTGCTGGACAGGATGCCTGCTGCCTGGCCCCAGGGGGTCAGAGGAAGCCAGGGCCTCTAGGGCTCAGTATTTTTATCAGCCTAGGAAACAAGAGACACAGAAGCGGAAACGGTGTGGTCAGAGAAAGTGAACAGCCCTCATCTCAGGGGAACCCCCAACAGGGCTGGGGGCCCGACACCACGGAGGGATGTTGAAAAGAGGGAGGTCTAGGGGGCCAGGTATTGGCTTATTTTGCTTTGGTTTTATGTAACTCTTGCAGGAGGGAAATGATGTGCTTAAAAACCAGAGAAAATTCTCCTGGGTGGAGGAGCAAATCTGGACACCAAAGTTTGCTGCTGCTTACCTCTCAACCCCCAGCTTAGGGATCCTAACCCCAACTCCCCCCAACTCCAACCCGGGCTCTTTGCATGCCACTTCCGAAATCTCCGGCCTGTGAGAGGAACCGGACGCCTGGGTTGCTCACAGCTCACAGTCTCTTCTCTGAATCACAGCAGCTTCCTCTCACAGGATCTTTCTCATCAGTCCCTCCTCCTCCTGCCCCCTGAACATCTGTCTGGTCCCTCAGAGGCCTTGGGCCTCTTGGCTCTCTGTCTTCTCTGAGGGTCTCATGCCTACCCCATGTTCCCATGCTTCCAGAGGCTCCTCCTCCCTGTCCCCTACCGCCCTCCACTTCTACTCCTGGGACTCTCCTGTGTAGACTGGGGTTCCAAACACGAAAAATAAGTTTCTGATCATAAGACTCTCTGATATAACCACGTGCACGCTGTGCACACAGCAGAGCATGCCTGCACTGTCCTTTCAGTCCTGCCCTTTCTTTTCGCCAAGTTCCCAGATGTGTCTTGGGGGATGGCAGCGGGGTGTGGTAGTGTCTACAATTTCCTATCCCAGTTCCGTGGAGTTGGAGTGGGAACTGAGTATAAACAGTGTGAGGGATAGCGCTCCCCACCTTCCTCCATGGGAATCCCAGACCCTCTCTCTCCACCCCTCGGGACCTTTTCCTCAACCTTAGGAAAAGAAGATGTTTATCTGGAAGGCCAAGCCTGGGCTGCCCAGAGATGAAGCCCAGGTTTGGGATGGGGCAGAAGCTGGTTGGAGGGAGCCAAGGATTGGCACCCTGGAGAGGAGAGATAGGACTGAGAAGCTAGAGGGGAGAGAGAGCCTCGGGTGTGGATCCCTGGTTGCCCAAGAACAGACAACCCAGGTTACATAATTCGGCTATTTCCGCCTCCTTCCCCTGCTCCTAATTTTAGCAACCGAAATTCCACTCCCCCACAGGCTCTTCCTCCCTCCATTCTGTTTCTATCCTGTCCTCCCACAACCTCCTCATGGTCCCCCAGCTCCAGCTGCCCCCAACTCGGATCATTCAGTGACTCAGCAAAGGGAAAGCCCTGCGTTGGGGGAAGGGGGTGATAAGTGGGGAGGAGGATGTGGTTCTGGCTGGGGAGCTGGGGAGGGGAGGGAAACTGGTTTTGTTCCCTTTTTTGCCTCTGTTCACATCTATTTCTCTGGCCGCTGACTACAGAGCGGAGAGAAGCCCAGCGTAGGGAGTGGAGTGAGACTAGAGGGCAAACTGGGCCTTCTAAGGGCCAACCTTGCGGGTGGACGAACAGGGGGCTTCTTGTCTCCAGTTGAGCGCACGTGTTAGCGTGTGCATGCGTGACACAGGTGTGTAGGAGCTGTGGGTTTTGGCAGGCGGGGCGGGCAAGGAGATGTCATGGGTGATGAAAACCACAGTAATGGAAAAAGGCAGAGGAGACACTGGGAGTGATATGTGGAACCAGGTCTTATTAGGAAACGGCAGAGTCAAGGAGTGGCGGTGGTGGCCCATACTCCCCCCGCCCCCGCTCACTACAAGTTTCGCTCCCACCCTATATCCTCTGCCGTGCAGCATCTGCCTCTTCCTCGTCGTCCCTGACATACCCTTCCTACTGCCCTGCCCCTAAGGCAGCATTCCCTGCAGTTCACGCTCTTTCCCTGGGCTCACTTGAGGGCCTCCGCATGGCGATTCAGGGCCTGAGAAAGGGCTGTCACAGCTCCCATCACGCGGCCCAGCTCCCAGGTCTCAATCTGGCTTCGGAATCGCTGCAAGAAGCGGTCAGGGTGCCAGCGGACCTGCTGGACCCTCAAGTACCTCCTCAGAGCCCCCTGCTCCTCCAAGGGGGGACCCCTGGCCACCAGGGCTGCAGCCATGGCCTCTGGGTCCCCTCCCCCAGGACAGGGCCAGGGCACATCACCAAAGCGCCAGAGGCTGCCCCTCCCTGCTCCTCCAGGGTGCTCTGCCCTGGGTCCGGCCCTGGCTAGCTCCGGCCCTCGGTCCCCACGAGCCTCCTGCGCCCTCCTGGCTTGGCTCTCACGCAGTTCTTCCTCCTTGGCCTGGGCTCGCTCTCGGAAGAGCCGCTGCTCCTCCTCCTGCTGCCGCCAGCTCTGACTGGAGCCCTCAGCCTGTGGGGGTCGGCAGGCTCCCTCTGCCTCTCGCTGCTGCTGGCGCTTCTGGGCATGTTCCCGGGCCAAGCGATCTGACCAGGCTGCGAAAGATTCAGGTTCCTGGGTCTCATGGGAAGCATCATCTGTTTGGGAGGGCAGGATGGGGGTGGTCGGGGAGAGGCCGTGAGAAGGTGATGGGTAAGAGAGGCAGGCAGTATAGAGGAAGGGGCATAGGAGGCCAGTGGGAGCATTCACGCGATGGGTGTAGGAAAAGCAGCCAACAGGGAAGAAGGGCGGCTGTGGATGGGAATGGATTCCTCACCTTCAAACCTCCCAATGACCTCCTGCCACTCATCTTCCAGCTCTCCCTGCAGCTTCTGCCTCCACTCCTGCTCCCTGGAGGCCTCATCTTCTTCCTCCTCTTCAGCAGAATCCCAGGGAGGTCCCCAGCCTAGAATTTGCCCAGGGGTCTCCCCATCCTTATTCTTTATTCCCATGGCAGAGGGACAGCGACTCAGCAGTGGCAGGAAGAAGTCCGTGTAGGCTGTTGGTGGGAGAGCAGTGAGCAGAAGTTAGCTGGGACTCCCACTCCTTGAATCCTGCCGCCATCTTGAATCCTGCCGGTCACTCACTCCCTTGGTCTTAGAGCAATGGAAAGGGTTGCCCACATGGAAGCCTCCTGGGTATTAGGAAATCACCGTCACAGACAAATATTTACTGATAGTTTACCACATGCATAATAAATGTGGTAGTTGAAAATATTCTGACCTGTGTCCCCACAAACTATTTTAGTGTCCTGGGAGCTCTATGATGTCAAATGACATTTTCCAGCCCCCCTCCAGGCACCTAGGGCAATGTCAAAAACCTCTGACTATGTATTCCATTTCTGGCTTGAAAATATTGTCACTTTATATCTCTTATTGTGTTTCTCACCCAAATCTATACTTCAGACTGGTAAAATATCTGAACATTCTCCTCTATACCTTTATAAATATACAAATATATAACAGTTATCTTTTTATATCACTTTTCAATAAACTGAGTAAAATAAATGTTTTCAGGGGAATTTCTCTCAGCCAGCCTTCCCCAGGGCATGTTGGGAGGGAGTAGGGAGGTAGAAGGTCCAGAAGAGCAACGAGTTTGAGTCACAGAAATGTTCCCAGCAGCAGAGCAAGCTCTTTCCAAATGACTGCTGACCTAGGGCAGGGGAAAGGGGCTGAGACAGAGGGTCCCACTCAGGGGCTGGCTGACGGGAGGCTGGGGGAAAACAGGACAGGGACCGACATTCCTGAGCTCCCCTCTTCCTGAGCCCTGACCTCACTGCATCTGCTCCAGTGTCCGCCAGGTGCCACGCTGCTCACTTCACTGCCAACTCAGCACCCTAACCCTGGCCAGGTCCACCCACCACAGCCACCAACCGCCTCTTTCACTCTCAGGACAGAAGAAGGTGAGTGAGGCACCCTCCCTTCCTGTAGACCTACTTTCTCTCCCTAGGGCAGGAGGAAATGGGCCGGCAGTCCTTAAATCTTTATTTTGTGGTGCTGGAAAGTACTGGCTATCTGGCAAAAGTATGGCACAGGGCAAGGATTGTCCTGTCACTGTCAGGAAGGCAGGAAGACAAGATGGGCCCAGCCTTGGCTGGCCAAGGCCCACTGCCCCCCACCCATCATCTTCCGGCACACTTGAGTGCCACCCAACCCAAACCACATCAGGACGAGGGGAGGGGTACGTCCCTTTAGTACATGGGTGACCTTTCACAAGCCCTCCCAACTTGGCCCACCCAGCAAGTTCCTGGTCCTGTCTTTCAACTGTATATTCCCCACCAGCTTTCACGGCAGGTGTGAGGGTGGGTGGGTGCTTAGGTTTGCATGAGGTTTTTATATTCATAGGTTTTAAGGAGTAAGGCCTCCAACTATAAAACATGATAAGTAAAATATGGTACAGAATATTTAGTAGCCACTAAAAATGATGTTTGTGTGTGGAAAAAGCTGGCTACAAAACTGTACATAAGATCCGATCATAACTGTGTAAAAAAAGAAACCAAATCCTATGGTTAAAAAAAATAGACTGGAAGGAAATATGTAAAAATTCTAGTCTCTGGGTGGTAGGACTATGGGTGGCTTTCCCCAATCTTATTTAATTGATATTTTAATGTGAAAGGGATATAACTAATATGAAATTTTCTTTTTAAAGAATGAAAAATAAATTTAATCATTGTTAACGGTTTGCTATGGTCACTTCCAGTCCTGTCTTGGGGCATATAAAAGCAAACATATGACAATTTTTTCCCAAAGACATGTGACCATACTATGAATTGTTTGGCAACTTGCTTTTTTCATGTAACATCTCATTTATATTTTTCCACAGGAGTATAAGCAGTCTACCTCATTCCTTTTTATGACTATGTAGTGTTCCACTGTGTGTATGAAACAAATAAACCTTCCCACCTCGAATTGACAAACTTTGTTTCCAAAAGTGATCAGTCTCATATATATATGCCTTTGTGGACTCCTTACCGTATTTCTGTGGGGTAGATTCTCAGAAATGGAATTTCTGAGTCAAAGAACATGCGCAATTTTGCCAAATTACTCTCAAAAAGTTTGTGCCAATGTACACGCCTACCAAGAATACGAGTGCCGCATTGTCCTTTACCAAAATTGATATCACCCTTTTCATTTGCCTATGTGATAGATGGAAAAAAATGACTTTATTAATGAAATTTTGTTCTTTTTCATACGCTTTTTGGCTCTTTGTGTTTCTTTTATGAATAACTTGTTCATATTCTTTGTCTACTATTCCCCTGGAAATTACGTATGTAGATATGAGAGCTCTTTATATAGTATAAATATCAACGCTTTGTGTCTGCTACATATATTGTAAATATTTACTCGCATCTTTTAAAAATTTTTATGTAGTTAAATCTGTATCAATATTTTCTTTTATAGTTTTTGACTTTATTTCATTCTTAGGAAGGCTTTCTCCACTCCAAAAGATTATAAAAATATTGCTTTGTGTTTTTTTCTACTATATTTATTCTTATTTTTAGAAATACAAAAAATTCAAAAAAGTACAAAGTAAAGTACAATAAGCATCCCTGGTCCCATCACGGGGTGTGTTAATATATTTTCATTTTTGCAACATCTTATTTTAAAGAAAGAAAATCATCATAGAGAAAGCTAAAGTTTTCTTTCACACTGCCTTCCAAGTTTTATTCCCCCAGGGAAACTCCACCCATGAATTTGGTATGTACCCTTCCTGCCATATCTAGGTGTTTAACCTGCTACAGTTTACTTTTGAGTCAGGTCAGAGGTAAGACTTTTTCCCCAGAGAAGCCAAATGTTCCAACTGTTTATTAAATAGTTCACCCCCCTCCAGTGATTTGAAACACCAACTTTATCATCAATTTAGCAGTACAGATCAACTTTTCCCAATGTTCCTTCATTAATATGTCGTGCTTTTATACTGGGGAAAATAAATATGAAAAAAAGTTTTGTGGAATAAAAATGCACTTTGTCATAGTGATGGAAGCACTGCTCTTCCCTTACCCATAACAAGACATGACTTCTACCTTAAAGGGATGTTATACTGACTGGTACAATACACTTTTTAAAAATGCCAATATCAGAAGCTTATATTGAGTGACGATTGACTAAGGCTCAGAGGAGGGAAAGGTAACAGTGAGTGGGGAGGTTGGAAAGGGCTTCAATGAGGAGGTGGGGCTTACTTTGGGCTGAGAAGGGAGGATAAGTTAGCAAAGTGGAAATCAGGGGGACAGGAAGGTGACAGGCAAGAGACAGGCAGGCAAGCTTCTGAACAACATGCTTGAGGTCACTGAAGACAGAGCCACGTAGCTGGAGTCGCGGGTTTGTGGGTGTGCCGTGGGAGGTAAGGCTAGAAAGGCAAATGGAACATAAACTGATGGCTTAGCCATCTGTAAAATGGGGCCACAGCCTACTTCTGTGCAGATCAAAGTGGGTAATGGATGACAAACATCTGGTACCGTGCCGGCACAGAGCAGAAGTGCAGGGAATGTTACATCAAAAAAATACCAGGCTGGCTTTGGACTTTATTCTTTTTGCAAAGATTGTGAGAACATGACCCCCTGTTTCTCAGTGTTCACTAACTCTTGCTGTATGTAGAGAATGGATATTGTCTAAGGTGTGTTTATACAGGAGTCTCTGACAGCTAAGATCACTTCCCCATGAGGTGATAGGTCCCAAAAAGAAGTTACCAAAAGCCCCAAAGATAGAGGCCATTCACGGACATCTCACTGGGTGTGACAACCCAGCCCAACCAATCCAGCATGAACTGACACATTCCTCGGACCTAATACGGGAACTGAGGGGAACACTGCCCGTCCCCCCAAGGGCTTCTGGCTCATTTCATAGATTCAAAGAAAATATTTGCATTTTAAGGCAGAGTGGTCTCTAAAGCAGCTGGAAGCTGAATTGAGATGGGCCTTTCTACCAAAGAGTTAGAAGGCCACCTGGTGGCAGGGCTGGCAGGGGAGCAGGTGCAAGTAAGCCCTGAGAGTACACCAGGGCTGGGGAGTGACCTGAGTGCAGGCTCTCCTTTGGAAAACAATGACCTATCAGCTGTGAGACTTCAGAAAGTTCCTGAACCTTCCGGACCCTGCTTTCCTCTTCTGTAAATGGGATAACAATATCAATTTCACATGTTTCTTAGAATTCAATACAATGAAGGAAGCACCTACCATACTATGAAGGACATTTTTATTACTCAAAAAGCCTTAATTGAATAATATAAGCATAAAAATAACAATACTCATCATCCAGTGAGTGCCAAAACTGCACGAAGTGCCTCATTTACTCATCACAACCTCCATTTCAGAGAGGCAAATTAGGTTCACAGAGGTTAAGCTGCATGTCCCTGTCACACAGCCTGTAAGCGGTAGAGCCAGAACTTGGAGATCTGAGGTCTGTCTGAGGGTACTCTGCTCTGTCGCCATGCACGTCAGTTGTCGAGTTAGATGCCTGCACTTTGTAAACCTCCTTTGTTTGTTTTTAAGTTAAAAAAAAAAATCTGAATATGCCAGCCTATCTCACTTATGTTAAAGGAAATTTTAAAAAAGCAGGATTTTTGCTATATGATAACAGCAGCAATCAAACTGAGTGAAGGTTGTTCATCCCAACCTAGAGGTTTTCCTCTAACGTTCCTACTCTAGAAGGGGAAAAAGGGTTTCACCTTTCATTTTCCTAAGGAGGGCTACACCTCTACCGAGCCGCCTCCACTGCCACCACACTATCAGCAGGTCCCCATCTGAAACCCTCTGTGTCAACGGTTTTTCAGAACTCAGATGTTTTTGGGATTTGAAGAGCTGATCTGGAACTACATACACTGTCTATTATACACTGTCTATCACACAGGATAATGCCATCATTAAGACCACGAATGGTCTAGCTAAGCTGCCTGAGTTACACCCCCTGCTCTACCACTTAATAGTTGTGTGACTTTGGCAAATTACTTAACTTCTCTGTGCTGTTTCCTCATCTGAGAAACAGGGGATATTAGTACTTACAATTCACAGGGTTGTTGTGAGGATTAAATGAGTTGCTTTGTGACAAGCACCTGGCACATAGCAAGGGTTGTTATAATTTAGTTTTGCACATGGGCACTAAGCCTCAGAGAAGTTTAGTAACTTGCCCTAGAACACACAGCTATTAATTGTGGAGCTGGGATTTGAACCCAGGCAATCTAACTCCAGAACCTACTCTCTATCCTACTTTTTATGCCACAGGCAAACAACTAGTCAAGAGACAAACAGCTACTAATCTAGAAAGACGTGGAATTTGAAGATCAGTTGCTGTTTTGGGAACGTTCGGCTCTTCAGACAATGGTAGCTCAGTAACGTAAAGGCACAAATGATAGCCACATGCCAACTTGGTTAACTACCTCCCTAGGTCCCAGTGACCAAATAACGAGCTTATTTTTCCACTGTTGGACTTTATCTCAGACCCGATCAGTTGCCCATGACCTTATTCCCCACCAGGCTGACTCACCATCAGGGCCCTGGCGGGCAGCAGCGTGCAGCGCCGTGTCCCCATGGCGGTCCTGGTGGGCAGGGTCGGCCCCCAGCCGAAGAAGCAGGCACAGGGCAGGTGCATCGTGGCGGGCACAGGCCCGGTGCAGTGGTGGGGGCTCCCCAGCATCTATGTCAAGGCCTGGGTGTCTCTGGAGGAGGGCCTGGGCTCGGACTAGCCGTCCTGCAGACAAGTAACGACGGAAACGACGCTCTCGGCGTTGGCGGCGGGAAGTGGAGGCCATGGAACTCTTGGGCTGAGGAAGAAGGAAAAAAAGGCAGCAGTCAGGAGCCCAGCCTTGGCTGCTCCCTCCCCCTCCATTCCATACATTCCCTCTGTTCCTCCCTTCGGTTCTCTGTTTCTTCTTGGATCTTCAGATCCTAACCCTCATCCCTTACCAGATGATGGACTGGAAAAAAATGTTGAAGGTGGCTGGGGTCACAGATTTAATTTTTTAATGTAAAATTTGAGAAAAGGGTAAATAATTGCTTTGAGGCTCATTAGCCCAGGTAGATTTTTAATAAAAGACTTTGAGAAAGACGAATAGAGACTGATGGGGGACATTTTTATCAGCAGAAATTTGAATTAAAAAAAAGTCACAGATAATTTCAAATAATGATCTAGAAATTGAATATAATGTACCCGGCAGACAGAGGTAGAGGCTTCTCCCTCTGGGACCTGGGGGGAGGGGTTACTCATCAGACCTGCCCCCCGCCCCCCTAAGTACCCCCAGAGCTGTAGGCCCGAGGCCTGTGTTTAACACGCTCGGAGGAAAGAAGGTGGGAAGGTCGGAGACACTCTAGCCTGCCGGAAATGGCGCAGGCAGAGACGCAGGTAAAAGGCGGAAATGAACTGTGAGGCGCGTTACCGGATGTCGTTCCTCCCCGACTGTGCGGGGGTGGCGGGGGTTGTTTCCTCAGTCTGGCCTCCGGAGGGAAACTAGAGAACTTAAGATAAAGGGTCCGTCTGAAACCGGAAGACTGGACTCTAGGCGAGGAAAAGGAGCAGAGGCAGGGCGCGGAGAAAGGAGGGCGATTTGGAGGTTTATCCCCGCCTCCCGCAACTGGGAGGGGAGAGGCGACGGTTTAGTGACAGAGGAAAGATGAGAAGACAAAGAATGAAGACAGGAGAGATAAAGACAGGATAAAAATCACAATGAAGATGCAAAACAAAAACAACCACAGTGAGGCCAAGAACAGGGACAGATCAAAAAAGGGAAAAAAACAGACAGGGAAAGACATAAGGAAACAACTGTAGGACAAGGCAAGTGAGATGGATGCAGAATTGGGACTTGGGAAAGATGTAGAAAAAGGAGATTGAAACGGGAGCGAGAGGGAAAAAAGAGGGGAAGAGAAGTTGGAAGAATTCAGAGGAGCCCAGCATACTCTTCTCCAACACCCGACACGTTGACTTTCTTACCTTCTCACCCCATTCTCAGCCCGTGTATGCCTCCTCTCCCAAATACTCCTCCCTCTCTCACCCTGCCCCCATTCCTAGACGTTCCGACCGGGAAAGCCCTGCACCTGCCGTGATGTTAGCGGGCAGCTTTGGGCCTGGTCTCTGCAGCTCCCAGACGGTCCTTCTGGGTACTGCCAGAGTGAGAGGTGGGAGAGGAGGACCAGCCATCAATGAGAGGATCAGTTTGGGGGAGACACCTTGTGCAGGAGGCTGAGCGAAAGGGGCGCACTAAGACCCAGGAGTAGTGGAGGACTGCAGCAACGAGCTAGAGGAGGAGGAGAAATTGGAGGGGGGCGGGAAGCCATCTGGTACCTTGGTAGCATCCACAACAGCATCGGCCATAACGACAGAAATGGCCAGCCAGTCCCAGGGTATCCAGCAGCTCCTGCAAGCTGAGAAGCGGGCGGCTGAGAAGGTGGCAGATGCCAGAAAGAGTGAGAATCTTCTTCTCTCCCTTAGGAGTCTGGAAAGAAAATTGAGGGTGGGGGGACAACAAACATTTGGGTCCTTAGGAAAACCCAAGGCTGGTGGGGAGAGAGCTGGGGACTGGGGTGGCTGATTAGGAGGGAATATATGGGTGGGTGTTAAAATCTAGCACCTGGTTGGCTGAGAGAAGGCAGAATAGCTTTCTGGAAAGGACTGACCCCTACTATCACAATTTGTGGGGGAGTCTACCCCCATCCCCTGTCCTTTCTTCTGCCTCCAGGGAAGGCCCGGCGTCTGAAGCAGGCAAAAGAGGAGGCACAGACGGAAGTGGAGCAATACCGCAGAGAGCGAGAGCAGGAATTCCAGAGCAAGCAGCAGGCGGTGAGTTGTCGGGGAGTTGAGATGGGACTCTGGGGTGCAAGTTGGTGAGTGTATCTGGTGAGGTGTATACAGGGTGATTCTACAAGAAAATAAGGTGGTAAAGGGCTGAAGGGGACCCTGGCGGGGACCATGACACTGGTCAGGCTTTGTGATATGTAAGAGAGTCTGGAATTTTGAAGGACTTGTACAGCTTGTGGGGGGAATTACCACAGTCTATGTGAAGCATGATGACATTTGGGGTGGAGGGCAGAGTTTTAAGGTAATGGATGGTGAGGTGGTGGGGATTGCACAGTCTGTTTTAGGATGAAGTTGCATGTCAGGTTTTAGAGGAAAGGGGATTGTGTTGCTCTCTTTGCTGTCTGGCTATTTCTGTGGGATGGGGGTGGTTTTGGAGAGGGCCTTTCTTCCTGGCGTTGCTCCAGGATCTTTCTCTCCACATGCCTGGACTCTTCTTTCTGTGTTTCTGCTTTTTCCTTTCTCTCTTCCACCCCTTCCCCAAACCACAGGCCATGGGCTCCCAGGGGAACCTGTCGGCTGAGGTGGAGCAGGCTACAAGGCGCCAGGTGCAAGGCATGCAGAGCTCCCAGCAGAGAAACCGTGAACGCGTCCTGGCCCAGCTTCTTGGCATGGTCTGCGACGTCAGGCCCCAGGTCCACCCCAACTACCGGATTGCTGCCTAGGACCCACTGTAGGGCCTGACTCCTCCTGCCAATGCCCTGCCTCAAAGAAATCCCCATGTCGAAATCACCTCCCACCAGCATCCTTCTCTCCTTTCCATTCCCTAGAAAGTCTAGGAGGCAGGATCCAGTAATTCTTCTGTGAAATTTATAAATATCTTGCTCAGACCTGAATCTCCTTATTGTTCTTTAACCTTCACTTGGACCTTTAAACTCTCAAGTCACTCTGATCCAACACCTCTGTGAAATTTGCAGCATGAAGTAGAGATGTGCAAAACACCCTGACTTCAGAGCCTGGCAGGCTTGGGACCCTCTCCTGACCCTTCCACTTGCTGGCTGTGCAACCAGCACAAGCTACTTAACCTGTAGCCTCAGTGTCCTCCTCTGCAAGACTAGAATGATAATAATAATAGTAATGCCTACCTTATGGGGTTGCAATGATTAGGAATCATTCTGTAAAGAGCCTGGCATGGTGTCTGCCTTGTGGTAGCTGATTCAATAAATGGCAACCCTGTGATATTATTCCCACTCCCTGCCTCCCTGCCAAAGCCTAAACACAGCTTCCTCACTTCTGTCCGTGGTTCTCTAATTCTGCTCATTCATTCTGTGACCTGAGTAATTCTCTGAAGAATTAGTTCTTCCCACCTCTCTTTTCTCAGAGACCTTATGATCCATGAAAAGATGAAATGATGACCTCATTTAGCCCCTCTGCAGTGGTTCCAGGAAGATTTTGCATTTCTTAGCCACTCTTTTTCTCTAAATTGGTCTTTCTCTTTATTAGATTTTCCCCTTTTCCTATTTCCCCAAAGACCCATCAGATGCTCACTGCTTCTTGAGATCTAAAGTGATGCTGTGTCCCTTCGAATGCATGGCCCTCCTTTCTACATCCTCAACACCTTACTTTCCCTTTGTAACAATAAAGAAGTGTCAATAAAATAGCTATGGGCAAATCAATTGGTGTGTGGAAGCAGCCTCCTTTTGCTTCATCATTTCTCATTTTCAGTCACTCTCTTGTTCCTTGTTTACATATTCCCCAAACACCCAAAATGGATGTCCTTTGAAACTTGGAGAAACAACAGCAAATAGTACGTTATTATTTCTCTCAAGTGAGAAACATGTGGTTCCTTATTTGGGAACCTGAGGACTATACTTGGCAACTGTAGAGAAAAGCTGGGATGTAGGGACAAGCACTTTTTGCCCCTTACTTTGCTTTATTTTCCTTCATAGCACTTACTGTTACTTGATGTGTTTATGTGTTGTTTCCCCTGTTATGTGAACTCTGTGATGACAGGGCTGTTCACTGCTGTGTCCCCAGATTCTAGGATAGCTCTGCGCACAGGGTAGGCAATTGATAAATACTGTGAATAAATTGGTATTTAGGGTTGGAAAAACTGCCCTTCTATAAAACTATCCTTGGATCATTGTTATTTCTTTTGGCCCCAGAAAGCAAGCCTGCTTCACCAAGGACTTGAACCAATGAGGTAATCCGTAGTGTATTTATTAACCAGACTCCTTAAGCAAGGAGGCAGGATACAATAGAGAATAAGAGGTGTTTACATCCTGGCTTTGTCACCCTACTAACTGTATTACTTTGGACATGTTTTATTTCTCTAAGTCTGTTTACTTGTCTATAGAATGGGAATAATGGGTCCTACCGCTTAGTGTTAAATGGTTAAGTGTGGGTAACAGGTAAAGGGCGAAACCTTTGCTGTCATTTTTGTTGAGCAGCAAGACGTCATGTCTGACTTCTGTAGCAAATCAAAGATGGGCGTATCAAATATTTTATTCAGGGAAAAGATCCAGGCTGAACAATGGAGCTGTTGGGGCCGGGGCTAACAACATTCTGGTCGAATTAACAATATTTATGGAATGTTGTATGACCCTGAAGCCCTATCATTTGGCTTTAACACTTGGGGCAGGATGTAGACCCCGGATCCCCACTCGGATTCAGAACACCCTCCTGACTCGCAGCCCCTGCCCACCAGCCTCAGGGCCCCTGGGGCATCAGCTACATCGGCTAACATTATTTTGGCAAATGCCGCCCACTGTCCCCACGGCTGGGGAAAGGGTAAGGGCACGACCCCCGAGCACGGCTCATTTCTTCTCAGCTAGGGCCGGGGAGGTTCCACAGCTCCAGGGCTGACGCCCCCAGGTCACCTTGACTACTGGATCAAGGACCCCGTGGGAACTCGCAGCCCCCTCGCCACCCTTGTTTCTTCTGCGTCCACGGAGGGATGGCCAGAGATAAGACCTGCGTGGCAAGACCCTAAACGAAGAGGTGAGGGGCGTGGAGAAGAATAAGACAAGAAGAAGAAGATAACAGTGTGAGGGGATGCTAGTTTCCTTTAAGCCTTTTGTTACTGGCAATAGCGGAGAAGTTAAAAGTGGCTTTTGAAAAAAATTTCAGACAGGCATTTTCTAAAGGCAACCCCGGAGCGCGCGGGAACTATAGAACCGCAGAAGGTCCTTAGTCCGGTCCCTCGCGCCTGCGCGCTGGCCGCCGAGAAGGCGGGAGGCCAGAGTATAGGGAAGCCGGGAACCGGAAGTGAAGGCAGATTCCCTCTTTCGTTACTCTTGCTGCCGCCATACACGCTCGTCTTGCTCAGGTAAACTTTGGTCTTCAGTACCATCCGCCCCCATCTGCGTTTCTCTGTGGCCATCGTGTCTCATGGGCTCCTGATACCCCTTGCACAGGCTATTGCCTGGTCACTGGGGCCTAGTTGGGTCATTATTTCCATCGCTTGCATCCCTTTCGGGAGCAAAGAGCTTCTGGGGGAGGTAGGGAAGCTGGCGGAGGGGGGGGGCAATCCAAGATGGTGGCCCCGGCGCCATTGTGTTTCCTTTGCTCCCGGCTTCTCCGGTGAGCACCTGGTTTACCAGAGGTCCCAGCGACGCTGAGAGGCGGCGCGGGCTGTCCTCGGGTCCTTGGCATTTGCAGAGGGCGGGGCTCTACTCATCTTCTCTCGTATCTCTGGGTTCTCTCTCGGCCCGCGGTTGGAATAGGAGGAGCCACCTTCTGGGCCTAGTTGGACCTTTTTTATCTCGACTTGCCCGCCTTTATTTGGAGCACTTTCCAAATGGTTTACGAGTGGTGTCGTTGTGTGTTTTTCGGAAAGGTGTCTCACCTGAGGAGTAACGCAACGGTGATGTGAGACCACTTAGTAAAGGTTCTGTTAAAGCCGGAGCGAGGATACTTCTTTTTCTCTCACTATATTGCTTGCCTTACTCATTGTACGATGGAGAGATGAATACTTTTTTCCGACCGAGGCATTTCTCTTACCCCTCCCCCCCCCGCGATTAAATTACACGGCGCTTCCTTAAGCACCAGAAGGAGATACTGAGGAGTGGGAGGCTGGAGAGCTGTGGGAGGTGGATGGCAGCCACATGATGTTTTCATTTTGAGAAGTGAGCGCTTTGCGCGATGATGACCTTAATCTATCACCCTTGACTGATGGCTGCTGTATTAGGGGTTGGCATCTTGAGATTATAGGGAAGCACAAGGTTTTCGAGGATTTTTCAGGAGTTGTTTTCGTTTTGTCATCTCCATTCTCCACTCCCTTAAGTCATTAGTCGCATTCTGCTTTTCATTATGTATTTTTCTTTTTCTCAATATTGTTAATTTACAGATCAGGAATTTATAAGCAGGTGTTCCCCTTTCAGCTTTCTGGTTTCTGCTATTCTGATCCTAATCTTGTTGGGAACCTGTGTCCTAACCACCTCCGCTGGAACCACTTTTCTCATTCCTTGGATGACCTTTGCTTTTATGTTTTGTGTTTCTTTGTTACTTTTCTTTCTTGGCTAAGGTTTCATAGGTTCGGTGGAATGTTTCAAGTTTAAGTGGGAAGAGTGTGGGGATGGAAAAGAGGTGGTTGAAGGCTCTGCTCATGACTGATAAGTCTTCCATCTGTTTTTTTTTCCTAGCTCTTCTGCCAGAAACTATTGTTTCTTTTCCTCTACTGCTCCTCAAGCCCCACTCTCCTCCCTTGTTTTCGCTTATTCTGCGTCAGCCCATCCAGAGACCCTCCCCTTCTCTCCCTGCCGGCCTAGTTATGGCAGAGAATGATGTGGACAATGAGCTCTTGGACTATGAAGACGATGAGGTGGAGACAGCAGCTGGGGGAGACGGGGCTGAGGCCCCTGCCAAGAAGGATGTCAAGGGCTCCTATGTCTCCATCCACAGCTCTGGCTTTCGTGACTTCCTGCTCAAGCCAGAGCTGCTCCGGGCCATTGTTGACTGTGGCTTTGAGCATCCATCAGAAGGTAAATTTTCTGTTGAGCATAGAGTACTCATTAGGTTCTTTAAGGATACAAGAAACAGATGAGTTCATGGTTCCTTAGGTGATACAGATTTAAATTTAGAATGGACCAGGAAATAAGGAAGGATTCTCCTATTTTAGCAGTAGAAGAGGTATATAGAGGTCGATTTTTCATTCATGATAGCATGAAAGTGCTAGTGATTCAAAGCAACTTAGAGGTCTGCCGTTCATTCTTGTAACTGGCTTTTCTCCTTATTTGCTTGTTTTTAATTTTGTCACTTTGACTTCTAATTTTAAATTTCCAGAGCGGGGCTAATTGGACCTTTAGTGCCCCTCTTGAGCCAGGCCAACTCTGATCTCTGGAAACCTTTATGGCTGGTCTAAAGATGGCTGGCTTCTGCGTCAGGTACCAAGTCCTTCATTTTGTCCAAGGTTGCAGAGTTACATGACCCATCGCATGGCAACCTAAGTAGGAGAAATGGCCTGTGGCAGGCACTCAGCTGTCATGATTGTTATAGCTTAAGGAAAATAAGGACAGAGCCAAGAACACCAAAGGTGAGCTGTTGGTAGGTGCAAGAGGGTTTGTTAACAGGACGGGGGAGCCTGGGGCTGGAAGAGGCTAAAGCTAGAAGGAACTAGGAGGGTCTGATTTTGGGATGAATTTGCTTGAGGGAGCAGAGAGGTAGAAACGGTCTGGAAGTTTACAGAAACCACTTAAGAATTGAGTGGTGAGAAATGGATTTGACGTGGTGAAAAGGGTTGTGGAATATCGGGAGACTGAAGTGTAATTTATCTTTTTTTTCCTACTTCTAGTCCAGCATGAGTGCATCCCTCAGGCCATTCTGGGAATGGATGTACTATGCCAGGCCAAGTCAGGCATGGGAAAGACGGCAGTGTTTGTGCTGGCCACACTGCAACAGCTGGAACCAGTTACTGGGCAGGTAAACTTGGAGAGTGCTGGGGAAGGCATTTTGGTTAGAAATTTTCGGGAAGAGTGTTTTTGTCTCAGTTACATGATGTGCTGTGTGAGTGCTTGGTGCTAAGATGACCTCTGCCACCCTTGACTGATAGCCATGTGGAACATTCTGTAATAATCACGGGGTTAACGATTTAGATTTCAGAATTGAAGTCATTTATGATCTGCCGTTTATGGTGTGCTTTTGTGACAATCACTACCCGAGAGGGGATAGTGAAGGGATATACTGTATGTCTCCATTTCCTTCCCCCCCAAGGTGTCTGTGCTGGTGATGTGTCACACTCGGGAGTTGGCTTTTCAGATCAGCAAGGAATATGAGCGGTTCTCTAAATACATGCCCAACGTCAAGGTAAGCATGATAGAGACCTGGGACAGTGAGGGTGTGGGGAGTTGGAGGCATCAGAGACTTGTAGATCAGCAGTCTTCATGTCCCACAGATGTTAAATACCTACACATGAACTTCAGTTACGTGTAATAGTGAGTTCCCGCAACCTTTGGTGTACAAGAGATTTACATTCCAGGGCTCATTTGGATATGCTCTATAGTTTCAGAGGTGCTTGCTATATTTTAATTTTGGAGAGGCTTTAGTTTGCCTTGGTTTTTAACACATTCTGTAAATATGCCTCTGTAGCAGGAAACTGCTTGATTGGGCTATGGAGGGGTTTTACCACAGGACCACCCTTGTGCCTACTACTTTTTTTTTACTGACTTTGAATCATTTC